GTGTTTCAAAAGAGCGCTCCCCCTCCCCCCCCCCACTACATTTTCACTAAAAAGGGTGGTGTCAAACTATCTTCTATCTTCAGAAGATATTCGTTCTTTCCCCTGAGGCCTGGGGCCCGTATTCGAGGTGGAAGGAAAGCATATGCACACTCCCCCGTCCGCAAAAAGCATATGTTGTCCTGCTGACCTATTCAGATGACTGGCCCATATTATCATTAGTACTTAGAGGCACAGAATTAGGACTTTGCCCCATATCAAAGTAACCCATAAAACCAGACAGCTGCACGGAACTCGTCCATTAACTTTTCAGGGTGTAGGTTTATGCGCTAACCTTTTCATTTGCAAACACTGCAAGTCAAAGCGGATAAAAAAGAAAGAAGACAAATAGGAAATGAATAATTCCATACCCTGCCTGGTTCGTTATGCCATACATCCTTGTGCATCTTTCTTTCATCTTTCTTTCTTTCTTCATCTTCTGAAAAGCTCACTTTCATCCTACGGGAAACCAGCCAGTCCGACAATGTATGAAGCAATGCTTCCTTAAAGGGTGCTAAGTGAGTTGGGAGGGGCCACGCGGCTGCGCGGCGCCTTTTCATGTCTGCACCCTCCCCGGCGAGATAGTAATACTGGGCCTGAGTCTGGGAATGGATGGTGAGGTTGTAATGAAGTGTTTCGTGATTCAAAACAGATTACCTCTTGGCACATGTTATATGCTTGCATATTATGGATACTCTTCTTCCGAGCCGATAAAACCCTATTTTTAAGAAGGGGAGGGGCTCCGGGGTGGGTGAGGTGGTTATCTTGTGCAAAAAGCTGAGATGAGATAAAAGCTGAACATCCAATTGGCTCACCCACCCCGGTGCCCCTCCCGTTCCTAAAATTAGGTGAAAAAAACGTAGTTATAACATAGAAGAGCTATGAAACGTCCCTAAACACCATTACGGGCTCGCCCACCCTTCACTGTCTACTATTTCGCCGCAGAGGGCGCAGACATGAAAAGGCGCCACGCCGCCGCGTGGCCCCCCCCAACTCCCTTAGCACCCGGCAAAGTAATGCTTAAACAATACATAACGGAAATCTGATTAGGATCGATCTTTCCAAACATCGGAAATTCGAGGACAATGCGGAAATCA